AGCATGCGACGTTTACCCGTCAGAACCCCGGCCCTGACTTCGGTGGACGCGCCTGTTGTGAACGTTCTTCAATGGTCCTTGACTATGATGATGTGGTTACTCATCCATTCTCTTTGTTATTATTAGTACCGAACGGGCCGATATCAAAGTAGGCTTCTCGGCGCACATACGACACTTTGCTACAACTCTCGAACAAGTCTTTAAAACGACGACTCGGTTTATCGCCACATAACGGACGAAAGAGTTTGCAAAAGAACAAATATTTCGCCTCTCCACATAGAAATATGCTTCTTTATCATTAACATGTGCCGCACCGAGTGGAATAATAATGCGATAAAAGAAGTTCGGGAAAATTGTATCACACGTAAGTTTATTGACTTATTCAGATATTCAAATATCTTCTCGTCGTCGGTAAAATAAATAATCCCCGTCACAAAAATTATTATCATATATATTTACACTACTTAGGAATTACATACGGTCACCGTCTCGATTTCGAAAAAATTTCCCGACGCCATAATTTCGCAATACTTTTGCTTCGTTATTATTTTCCCCAGCGCGCTAAGATATTGACAACACCAATAACCAAGCGGCATAATTTGGTGATAGGTAAATGAGTGGATAAATAATCGTTTACTAACAGACTATTTCCTTTTAAACTGGTTAACTAGGTGGCTGCTCTCTTTTGTCTCAACTGGTGGCAGTTACCAGTGACTGCGCCCCTCTACTCACCACTCTCACTAGTGCTCGCCTGTGGTGAAAGAGTCTGATGAGTGGGTTATGGAACACTCTTTTCTTCTTTCTTTACACAGCTTTTAGATGGCAAGTAGAAGGTTTTGGGTAAGTATAAGGTAAGTATCAGGTAAGTATCACATTGCTTTACATATATAAACTAACAATTTTAAAGAGCAAAATGTGATATGAACCCAAAATAATTGTGCATCACACTATCTAAAAAAGATAATTAGGTTCTTTTTCTTTTTCTTCCTCTCCCCCTTTTTCTCTACACTGACGGTTTGCCATGAACAGATCCAACGGAACACTTGGTGGACTGGAGTGAGTTTGAGAGTCTAATTCGGTGATTGCTTAGCTGCTTGGTCCCTGAAGCTGGTAGAGATAGAAGATGAGTTTGCTGCTTGGCATGCTGGTTTGGAAGTAATAGTTATTTGATTGTTTATCCAACTATTTTAATATATGTGACATATTACTCCATATAATGTTAACATCTTAATAATGATAGGGTGATAATACATTTATAATATTAATTAATTAATGATTCTCCAAGTATATTATACTCTTTTGATAAGAATTACTTTACAAAGATTGCTTATGTGGTTGTATGTTTCAGCTTTAACTAACTGGTAGATGATAAACCTTAAATAGCATTACAATGATGCAAATTGTTCTCCCCCTCCAATTATAAACTAAAATTAGTTATACATGCTATATAATACATATGCATAATATGTACCACATAACCCTATTCCATATGTAATGCATAATATTATTTTTTAAAAAATGACACATTAATTAATATCCACGTCATTTGTAAAGCATAATATTTGTTGTTCCATATGTTATGCATATGTAATATTTTCTAAAATAACATACCATTTTGTTATTTCAACTATCTTGACCCATCAATAAAAATTTATTTCCAGACTTATCTCAAATTACGTCTTCTCAATTTCGCTTGACACCCCTCTTACTTCCATATACAATGGCTGATCATACGTGTATTTTCCGCGTGTACAGGTTCGTAGAACTGAATTCATTAGAAAAAACCACAACTGCCGCGCAAATTTCAACGGCAAACAGTCAGCATGCCGTCAATTCTCCTAACAACCAGACAGATGACCTTAATATCGACATACAGTACTCGGTGTTCTGAAACTACAGCTTTACTCAACCTTATAACTCATAATTTTAACCATGACTTCCTCTTTACCTACCATATACAGCCGCTCTCCCTATAGTAATAGTCACGCTATCAGAACAATGCAACTTTTGTTAAAAATGTGTTTGTAAAGAGGTTACAGACTTTATATGATGTGCTTATAAGGGGTGACTATAAGAGGTCGACTGTATACTTCTCACTTCTAAATATGTCGATGAAACGCCCACCAAAATACCAAAAGTAAATTTAATTGACAACTACAGTAGTAATTACTGACACTATTTAAGATGACAAGCGTTTGTGTTCACTGTTTATCGTCAATTCCAATTTTACCATGACCCAATATTATACTCTATAATCTAATTCCCACTTCTAAATAAATAAATCCCCATTCAGAAGCCTTCTAAATTCTAGAAAACCTATCAACATACAGTGCTTATCTTCCTCTCAACATTTCAATGATATAAACAGAACATACCATCTACTGAGCAAATATTCAAAAGCTAACTCTATCAATTATCTATTCAGTATTACACATATTTGTCAAACAAATTAGCATGATGCCATTCCGATTCATGAAAAATCTATAATGATAATGTCCCCACATAATTTACACTTTGTAAGACTTGATAAAATCACCGATCGTTCAACATTTCCCTAACCTATCGGGATAGTGCGCATTGTTCTTCGCTATTGTAGTGTTAGGGATAGTGGAGACAGTTCTAGTTGTTCAATTAAGCCTGAATCTAAATCTACAAGCAACCTAATTTAATAATTAAATATGCGCGCCTTCTAAGTATTCCTTATTCGTAATCCAAATAAAGGTACCTATGATAACGACAACAACAACAATTATCATATCGCAGGATCGAAGGGGAAAATTAAACAGGGCTAACTTTAATTTGGTATTTCGACTAGTCGGGTAAACGTCACTTGTCTCTAAATAAACTAATTAAACGATATTCGTCTCAATAATTAATTATTAACTCTCTTCCGCTATTCGCGTAATTGATGATACTAATATGCCGATAATGGTGACATTAAACTACTTGCTACGACAGGAATTGCTCCTATCCCTCCTATCGGAATCTGAGAATGCGATTCAATCAAAGAGGACATATTATTTTCACGTTGTACAAGGTGTGGAGTCACATTTTTTATTTCTTGAGATTTGGGTATAATATCCTCACTAATTTCGTTAGTTCCCTCATTTATCTTAGGGCTGATCTCAATATTGACTTTTGATGGTTCGGTAATCTCATCATTAGTTTGTGTCGAGATATCATTATCAATTCTTTCAGCTTCTTCCATATTTTTTCTGCGTACAAAATATTTACTTAGATTTTTATTAGGTTCACTAACCACAGAAATATTACTAGAATTCGATATATTTTTTTCGACATCTCCACCAATTACAGGTTTTGATATAGCCTCCAGCTATTTTAGATTTGAGAGATAGATTCTCAGATTCTTTTTTCGATGAGTCATTTTGAATTGAAATCACATCTTTCTGGGCTGAAGACAACTTACCTTCCAATATCTTGATCATAGACTCGAGTGATTTGATTTTCTTGGATTTTGTAACATTCTCAGCCTTGGATTCAGCAATAAAAATACCCTTTTGTGCAGACTGGCAAGTACCAACTGTTCTTTGTAAATAGGTATCTCCAAGCCATACTCTAAAGCGAGCTGGAGTATCAATATTATTTCCTGCATGCTGAACTGAAACTGGTAAATACTTTCCTGCCATTTTCGATTTATAGATATCTGCCTTATGTGCATCAGTAAAAGTATTGGCATTTGCATTATTAGCATCAGCAATCATTGTATCAGTATAGCTGATGGCTGTTTCAATCCTATTACAATAATCATCTGGTGGTTCCTGTCCAATATATGGACAAGACTTGTTTGAATAGTTTGATAAATATGTTCAGATTTATACTGTAAATGTAAAATTTATCCTTGTAAATTTAAAATTAATTGCCGGCTATCATAAGTTTTATTTTTCCATTTCTCATACCTTGCTAGTTTTTTTAACAACATTACCAGAATGCGCCACTCGAAAAACTTATCCGTAACGGAACTTGGAAAGAATCTGAGGAAAAAATATCGGACATTGCGAAAGAACTTTTTTCCCTTCGAGAAGACATTTGGAATAATCCAATCTTTAGTTCTGAACTTGCAAAATCGTTAAATGAAGGACCTACCAATCGACAGTCATTTTATTATCAATTCAGGTGGTATTAAAAAATATTCCTTTTAGATTGTCTTCATTTATCAGTACGTCAGAACGGTAAAGTATTGCTAGCGCCGATAGAAAGGGTAAAGGACAGATGGGGAGGCGACCCGATATTATGTTTGTATTAAAATATTTAGAGGTTTTTTCTTTGAGCTTCTATACGTAGAATGTTCACGATTATACTGCACTCAGCAGAAGATGAGATAAAGTTATGGCGCAAGACAAATGATGGTATGTATTATGTTCGCAAAGTTCTTAAACCTGGAGTAGTTGGAGTGCAAGTAGCGGGAAATATGTTACATCTGAACGTTCTTGTCAGGGATAGAGCTAATGTGCATTGATATTACCATTTACAATCTGCCGAAATTCCTGTACAATTATCTGATGCAAACTCGTAGCTAAATTTATAGAAACCTTTTTACTTTTACGTAACATATTAATTATAAATGTATCTTTGCTATATCATGCGTCTGTCTCCACATCGCAAAGACAAATGGAAGATAGTACTACAGTTTCCACTCCACGAGATGATTACTAGACTTCGTTATATGTACTTTTTCTATCTTGCATTTTATATTTATCTTAATAAAGAGGCTGATTTTTAATAATTTGGTGCGTTATTTATCGAGCACATGATCAAGTGACGAGTCAGTTATATAGTCGCATACTGGAAAATTAAATCATACACCCGAAATAGATCATACATGCTCGATATAGATCATACAATTATCACCCGAAATAGATTATGTAACGATTATCCCAGATATAGAACGACGCATTATCAATCTTGATCAATAAACTATTTTTCTATCGCCGGATATGCATGTTCCACGAACTTCTATGCTGATCCCGACGACTTTCGAAATTTTATGCAAGGATCTCTTTTATATTAGACGTTTATGTAGTATACTGTATTTTTTGCATAGAAGGACTATCAAAGGCAAAGTAAAAAAAAGTCTAAAACAAATTCGTTTGATAGTACCGTAATATGCCGAATACCCCTCTGTACAATTCATGGCCTTCAATTTGTGGATAGAATGTAACGTGTCTCCTCATTGGTAGCTTTTTGTCAAACAAGCTAATTTTGGTAAGCACAGATTAATTCGGGTTTCCACGAACCATTTCCATATAATAATAACGTACAGTCAACTCTGTTTATACCGAACGGGTTGGTATAGCTCTCTGTGTCCGGTATATGGAAAGTTTGTAAGAGAATCCGGTATAAACAAAGAATTTTCATATGAAACGAACGGTGCGCAAGAATCTGTCCGTGAGATTCCGGTATATACAT